ATTCGGTTAGAGGCTCCAGGTCAAGCAGCTTTAATTAGTCGAACATAAGATACGTTTGCCTACCGCCAAAGTGCAAATGCATTATGTGCATTATGTTATATACATCCTTGTCTCTAACTGTATTTACATAAGAAGTCAAAGTAAGCTTTCGGGCTTCGAGGACAAAATGAATGCAAAATTCATTTCAACTTTTGCCATTCTAACACATTTCCTTCTCAGCATTTCATCAGAACAGGACATCATTTTGTTGTCCTTGTGCGCATATATGGGGTAGAATTGTTGTTAAGTGGGCTTCTTGCTGGTGGATCAGAACAAACATGACAACCCACAAAGTTTATCCCAACAACTACCACCGAGCCAAGTGGGCCAACGGAGTATACATAACGCAATAAGGTGGAATGTGGAGAGAAATACGTGGGGTTCAGCTCTGGCGAGCGTGGTTGTAGGGCTAGATTGAGCACAGTCTGCGAACATGGAAAGAGGGTGGCTGAATTTATGGTCACCACCTCTGCGGTCTCAAAAGTGTGCTGACGCGGAGTTTCGAAGTGCCTGAGCGACAGCGGACAGATGAATCTAAGTGCCTGGTTCGCGTCTAGACGTTGGTCATTTGTGAGCATTTGTGTCAACATTTTGCCAAAATTAGACGTCAACATGCTTTGATTATGCCACACAGGATAACGCTCTTGCTTTATTAGAAAAATGTAATATATAGGGACCACATACTCCAAAAACGCAGTTCACTAACGGTTAAGGAATAACTAATTTACAACTGCGCAGTAAAAGTTCGATGCAGTCTGCTGAATTAATGACTCCAAAAATCGTTGGTTCAAAATAGGGGTATAATCGTGCCTTCATATTTTATTTCGAATCTTCTTTTATTTCGAACAGCGTACTGATCCTACTTTCTTATGTGGTGACATATTGTATTGTACATGTTAGCCATAATTTTTGCAGACCTTGAAAACTATCTTTTAAAATGCGCATTTTGACTAAATTTTATTTTTCTATTATTATTTATACCGAAATAGAAAGTTTCGGGCTCTCTCATTCACATCTACGAGATATATAAAGTATCCTTACTCCTTAGTATTACTAGGAATGTCTTTTGGCGCGGACTATTGCGCTGGTGAACTTATAAGGACTATTTAGGACTTCCCTCCTCTATGTGCGGGTAATTTCAATGGTTTGAAGGTGCTTAAACGAGGAGTTGGCAAATCTGAATCTCTTTCCTTATAAACTTTACAATTGTACCAATGATCGGATCCTCACAGTTTGCACTAAAACTGACCCTTCCCGTTAAGATGATGGCTAAGCCGCCTTTCGAGCTCCCTGATAGTTATACGCTTGAAGATAATGTCCAGGGGGCAGGATGAGAGAGAATGCTTTATTTTGAAGGTAATATCCAAAATTTTCAGCAAAAATGGCTTCATTCACGGAGAGCAAGGGATAAGGTAAGGTAAAATCTAAGGCAAAATGTCATAGCATACTCAAAGTGAAAGGTTTACACGATATCCACATCTGTTATGGAGACAGGT